AAAAAAAAAAAATCTTTCATCATTTAATACCTTTCTAATCATATGTATGACTCATTTCTTTGTCTTTTATATAACTACATAGAAAACAGGTATAAAACATACTAGGCCTCTTGTAGTATTCGACAGTTTCTCATTTAAAATTTATTTTCTGTTTCGTCATTTATTGTGAATTACATAAACGAACATCGTTATCAATATTAGAAGAATACTTTTTGTTGTTATATATTTATCTTTTTTAGATTAACTTAAAAATTATTATCATTATCATTTTCGTTTGTTTTGATTTTGATAAAAAAAAATATCTATGTTAATTTTAAGGTAGCGTCAAAAGTATAGTGTGAGTAGGTTTATATCAGCACTGGTGGTTCAGTGGTAGAATGCTCGCCTGCCACGCGGGCGACCCGGGTCCGATTCCCGGCTAGTGCAGTATTTTTTTTCTTCTTTACAATACATATTTCGTTTCACTTGAGTGAGTATACACGAAACGCAATGTCACACTACACTTTTTCTTTTGCCCTTTATAACGTTACGAATGAAGATTCATAATATTTAGACAATAATTATTCGAGGTTAACTATAGTCTATTTCACAGCTAAATGTCTGAGGACATTTTTAAATAGCTTTAAAATAAAAAGAGAGAAATAGTTCGGGTTTTAGTGTTATCTAGAATCAACATTCCTCTATCTTTTTTTAAGGGCCAATGGAAAATTTCAGTTGGCTTTATTTTTGAGTACAGTGATTTATCTACTGGATAGGCTAGGTGAGCGCCGCCCACCCGAAATTTTGATTCGTCCACTAGAAAATATACAGCAGCCATTCATCTACTGGGTGGGCCGAGTGGGCGCCGCCCACCCGAAATTTCGATTCGCCCACTCGGAAAACGAAACCTAGATAAAACACTGCTTGAGTACATCATGAGTTTTAAAGATAGTCTTTATTTACTTTGAAAATAAGATTCTTTCTTAACTATTAATATAATGGACTGATAAACTAACTTGTTTTTTCATTGATCTATACAATGCCAAAATTAATAACGGTTTTTCTGCAAACATCATTATTCTCATGTCTCTGTACCAATCACACACTGTACCTTGATGTCTATTGAGTAAATCTGAACTAATATAAAAGCATACAAACGATAAAAACAAAAATATTTGCTTTGAATGAAGTGAATAAATTGCCATAAGAATAGATTTATGTGCGTTGAAAACAATCAGTCATGTCAAACAATGTTAGACAATATTTAAAAATGTTGATATTTATGTCGCAGAGATTGATGCAGACTTAAGAGAACTATTTGAAATTATTAATGTATTATAATTAAAATAAATTCTATAGCTAGTTAGTAGAAAAAAAATTTCCGTAGATAAGTAAGTCATATCATGAAGTCAAAGGTAACTAGAAACTTACAAAAGGAGGGTGTTGGTGTAAGTATCAGTGTAAAGAAGAAAATACCTACACCCATACCCAGATTATCATACTTTGAAATACTTTTAGGCATTTGTGCTTTACATTAATGGAAATGAATATATCATTTCAAAGTTTTGAAAAACTTTATTGTTTTTTTTATACAGTTATTCCATCTTCAAGGGGCTAAACGAATAAAATCAATCGTATTTATATAAATTCAATCTTCATTTTATTTAATAAAATAATATAAAATAGTGTGCTAAGATATTTTTTTTTAAATCATAATTATTTTATCAAGAACTGTGAGTGTAGAAAAAATAAGACTCGCAGTAACACCCAACATCGCAGAAATTTAGCCACCAGAAGAGTAGACAAGTCTTTTATTTGTCGAAATTATTGCTTCTGTTGTTGGAAAATGTGGTTCTCTTGAATAAAAGTCGATTTTGAAATATGATGGATTATAATCCACAAGATCCGAGAAAAGCATACGCTATAAATACAAAGAAGTGCCGAGAAGCACAAAAAAGTATACAGAAGTATGGAGAAATGAGAAGTGTGCTTTATGTTCCTTGGATTTAAAAAAAAGAACAATGAGAAGCGTAGTTATTCTTAGATTTTAGTCAATGTATAGTTCAAACAGTGCTTCATGTGTCGATATCATAAACACTAACCAATGAAATATTTGTGCGCGAATATTATGATTTTCCTAGATCACTTTTTATAAAAAGAATTGAACCTTTTGTTAGGTTCCGATTCCGCACATCTCTAGACATGGGACTTATTTCGGTCGCATCCACCAACATTCACACACACTCACCGACACTAATCGCCGTTCATACTTGAAACCGGATCAGTCGATTCGGTTGAAGTTTTGAAAATCGAACGGTTTGAGTAAAATCTGAAGCACTTCTAGTTATGTACCCTTTATTTATATTCTATTAATTACTCAAGAATAATCAAAAGAATTGATTTGCAGAAGTTTCTTGTTTTACACACATATTTTATTTAAGAGCAAAAAAAAATCGGTTTCATCGCTTTTTGATAAGCACATGGTTATTTGAGAAAAAGAAAAAAAGGTAAACAAAAAAGCGAATGACAAGACGAAAAAAAAATATATATATAGAAGAAATGACTTAACATACAAATTTAATAAAATAAATATTTATGTATAGATCTTCCTATTTTTAAGCAACATATTCATATATATTAGCATTATCCGTTGATCGTTTCATATATTCACGTTCGAGTAAACTTTCAATACGTGTTTTAACAATTGCTGTCTAAATAAAAAAAAAACAAAATTCAAAAATGAATTTTTTTTTTCTTTATTAAAACAAAAATTTATTCATACAGATATTGGAAATTTTAATTGAGCAAAAACTTCAGATATTAATTGAGCATGTCCAAGTGTTTTACGTGTTTTCATTATTCGTACAACAGCTGCATCAATTTGATAATGACGATCTTGCACAACACGTTCTGTTGTTGAAGTATTTTCTTCAGGCTACAAAAAGAAGCAAAATTTCTTTTGACAAAAAAACAAAAATTAAATATTTTTTCTACGAACTGTTTCTTTTAATTGTACTTGATTTATTTTTATACGAATTAATTTATGATCAAATGATGTATTTAATGTAAATCGATCACTTATATTAATATCTTTACTCTAGAAGAAAAAAATAATTATCAACATTAAAAAACAATATTCTTTACTAATGGTTTTTTATTTAATAAACGAATTTTTCCACAAGCTAATGATTGTAAAGTTCGTTGTAATTCTGCTTCTTCTACAAAAAAAAAATATATAAGAATAAATGTTTAAAATATAAATAAAATAATAATTTAATATAAATGATTACGAACGAATTTTCGTTTGTTCTTGAATATCTTTATAACTAAGATCAATATGTTGATTAAAAAGAAGAAGAACAAGTGCTTGATAAAGTGATACTTGAAATTCTTTGATTGTCTAAAAAAAAACATATATTTTATTTTGAATTTTAATTTTTGAATTAAACCTTTTCTTTTAACCATCCTTTTAATAAACAATGATCTAATGAATATTGCCATTGAAGTTTTCTTCCTGTATGTTTACTTAAATAAAATTTTGTAAATATTTCTTGTAATTGACAAAGCTTAAATATAATATTTATTAGATAAAAATATAAAAAACACAAACTAAATAAATAATTTACTTCAGCTGGTAGAATAGCACTAACTGTTGGATATGTTGGCCAAAAACCCATTGTTAATACAGATACAAACATACTTATATTTCCAGGAACTTCACGATTGTGCATATGCTTTAAAAGAAAAAAAAAAACGTCATTTTTAAACAAAAAATGATATTAACTAACAATGGAGGTATGTGTGTTGATAAGTGAAAAGATGGCACATATTCG